GAGTTGGTTGAAAAATATCTTTTTGGCATCTTGGGGATGGTGGGGGAAGTTTCGTCCTTGAATTCACGATATCAGTGGAGAAACTGAGGAGTGGCATACAGAAGAACAGCTTCTGACATATTCCGAAGGAAGATGGGTCAGATTCAGTGGCTTGGAAGAACACAACCAGGAAGAGTGGGAAACCCTATTAAAATGCTGAAGGTGCAATTTGCAAAGAATTTTCACAAGAAGGAAAAGGGGGAAGAAATTGAAAGAGGCCACTGGGGGTGCAGGCAAAACTTTAAAAAATGCCAAAGAGTAAAAAGGAGACATACAGATTACAGGAATGAGAGCAGCATGATCGAGAATGTGTGGTGGTCTCCCAAAAACTACAGAAACTGTGAGACTAACACTGAAAAAAAGCTGAGGCTTACAAGAGATAAAACAGGGAAAAAAAGGTACTTCGGATATGTTGGAAGAAAAAGGAAGGCCAAAGAGGATATGGTGAGTTGATAATGAGTGGTGGGAAGGAACATTTATTAATACTGATTTTGAATGCTTTCTCTCAAAAGAGAAATGGAGCCCTAGTACTCAGCATTATGCTATTAGGGGTGGGGAAAGGAATGGCTGCAGCTTAAATTAGGCAAGGAGAGAACTTTGCTATTTTAACTGAATTCATATCTCCAGTGATATATGGATTATAGTCTAAAGCAGCGGTCTGGGACTGCTTACCAAGTTTGCAGATGACACAATGCAGAAAAGAGAGAGAGAATATTCAAAAAGATATAGATAGACTTAAGAAATGGATTGAAATGAATATGCTGTGTCTTAGCAACAGTCTATGTAAAAGGGATCTGGAAGTTCTTGCAGACCACACGTTAAACATAAGCCACAAGTATGATGCAGCTGTTGGAAAAATAAATGCGGCATTGGGTGCATTTACAGGACCAGGGTCAAGATCATGAGAAATAATCGTTCCATTCTATTCTTCCCTGCTGCATCCAGTTCTGGGCACCAGAATTAAAAAAAATATAGTGATAAATTGGAGGAACTTCTGTAACAACTTAGAATAAATATGATAGCAGTCTTCAAACATCCCAAATATCCCTCCATCATATATTGCTAACACTACAAGAAACTTGGTTTAGATCAGGTGTCAGAAATAAATTCTTGATTGTATTAGCTGTCCACAAATTTATAAATTGCCACATTAGCTGGAGTTTTCTTTTATAAGAGATCTTGAACAGAAGTTGGATGGGTATCTGTCAGAGACTCAAATGAATTCTGTAGTATTAACCGTGGCTGTTTCTTCGTGTGTAATGAAAAAAATACCCAGAGATTATTAAAATGATCTTATTTAATTAAAGTTAGTTGAATTACAGTACATACAGTAAAATAGTGTTAATTCTTTTTGTAATATTAGGTCTCATTCAGAACAATTACAATTTTAGCACACGTGCCTCAAAGAGTTCCGTTGTAGGAATAGTATATAATATTAGATTTCTATGAGTATTTTCCTTAACAATCAGAAAATGCCAGAGATTTCTGATTCACAGCCTGAAGTTGATGCACATGTTCCATTTTGCTATGTAGTATTTGATCCATTAAGTAAACAAGTGTCTGGAAAAGACAGAAGAAATGCCACATGCAGGGTGACGGGGAGACAATTTGTGTGTATGAAGTTGCATTCACACACTGCACTCCCATAAGGACATTTCCCTCAGGGTGGTCACGTGCAAGGAACCCCATGTATGAGCAAGAGCCACACATTAAAGGCCTGCAAAATACTTCTAGATAAATAGACTAGCAATCAAGGGAACAGTATTTAATGCTTTAAGTGAGCACATGAATATGTAATTGATGCAAAACACTGTTTAAAGCAAATTTCAGTTCATTTTCACATGCTGAATTTAGGATAAACAGAGCTCTGCCTTTATCAGATTATCTTATTGCGGTAAACCTAATAGGTATCAAATACAGTATTAAAATGTGTGTGTCCGTAAAGCTATCGTTGACCTTCATTAAAATGTATTGTAGTTTCAATCTCCTTTGGGATTGATACAAAACCCTTAAATCAGAATTGCTCTAATAAAAATCCCTAAATCTGTATAAAGTGCATTTGGAATACAAATTTATGGGGTAAGGAAGTTCAGAAATTGTCTAAAGTAAATTCAATATAAAATGGACCACTGTTTTTATTAAAACCCTAAAGATGGTGAAGAGGAATCATTTTGTACAAACCGAAAAGTACTCAGTGGTGTTATTGATAGCATGATATTTTTTCTACAGAACATGATTGTGTTATATCGTTTATACAGAGAGGACTTCAGCTTTACACAAATAAAACTCAGGAGACTGGAACATTACTTGAATCCTGAACATTGTACAGCAGATATAGCAAAACCACAGGAGATAAAACTCAAAAGACAGCAACCTTTTTTAAAAAGAAAACAAATATATGAGCTGGATAAGAGAGAACACCACAACACCAAAAACATTAGGCTTTCTTTGTTTCGAAGCATAAGATTTTGAGCTAAACGTGATCCCTAAATCTTGAACTAAGTCTTTCTGTTGTCAGTGGGATTTTGTCTCCAGCATATGTGTGGCAAAACACATCTGTGGACACGTCTGTTGACTGCAACATGCTGTATAATGTATAGGGCAGGAGTCCAAAACCCAAAACTTAAAATATATTTCTAAAGTTGTCAAACTGTTATTACCTTACATTATTTGGACCAAATTAATTTAAACCAAAGAATCTGCTTCTTTTCTATGAACAAAGCATACCCTCAGTTTCAATAAAAGCAGTGTTCTTGTTAATGAACAAGAAGAGCTTTTATAATGGTAGTTCACCGTACCATAGTAGGAGTTGTGACTCATAACTAGGAAAGGGTGACTTGGTCCAACGTGGAATAGCCAGTTGCAGGTGGATCACTTTAGGGCAGTGGTTCTCAACCTGTGGGTCGGGACCCCATTTGGGGTCGAACGACCATTTCACGGGGGTCGCCAAACCACGCTGTCCGCCATTTTTTTCCCTTTTCCCTAGCTGTCCTATTCCCTCTTATTGGTGGCCACACCCACTTGGCCACACCCCTGGGGGTCATCACAACATGGGGAACTGTATTATGGGGTCACGGCGTTAGAAAGGTTGAGAACCACTGCTTTAGGGGAAGGAGACAGGAAAGATCCCAGGCCATTGACCGTAGGTAAAGGGAGGTAAGGAAAGGAAAGTGCTGGGAAGATCAGCAGTGGTCCAGCATATAGGCAATGCAGAAGACAAAGAGAGGGAGGGAGGAAGAGAGGGAGGAAGGTGGGGTTCACTAGTTTTACCCAATTCGCCTCATAAGTACCCTCCAGATTGTTTTTGACTAAAACCTGGAAGAATCAAAATGTTCTGAGTTTTGGTTCTCCCAAACCACATTTTACCAAGAACCATTTGGCAAATCTCCCAAAATACTAAAGAATTGAAAACAAAGCTCTTTGTGTGTATGTGTGTGTGTGTGTGTTTTGTGATATTTTTACCACATCTACCTATTACATACTGAACACTATTATTATTAAATGACAAAATGCATGTATAGTAGTTGAAACTTGAGTATTCCCAATGCTTTTTTTCTAAAAAAAAAAAAAAAAAGGGTGCCGGAACTCATACACGTCATACAACCCGCCTTGCCTACTCTACAAGGTTCCATCCAAAAAAGGTGCCGGAACTCCGTTCTGGGCGTTCTATGAGGAAAAAAAGCCCAGAATATTCCCATACTAAAAGAAAATCATTATGCCCTTGAAGCGTCATGCTCCTCCTTGGGGATTTTCTGATTTTTGAACCCTGCCAAAGTCTCAGTGTTCACTAGGAGGTATATGAGATGCTGGCAGTAGAAAATGTACCCACCTGAGCACAGAAATACTTTTTGATTTTAAAAAATGGGAAATTGTGTTCTGGACATTGCATTTAAACCAAGGGGTCAGACAAGCTCATGTTGTGGGCGCAGTTATTTTGAATGCAGACATCTCTACTGTAACCAGTTGCATTTCCCCCCCAATTAACTTTCACCTCTGTTTAAACCTCTCTTCTTTAACAACAAAGTGGTTGTTGCAAATCAACAAAACAAAGCTTACTTAAATACAAAATGTAAACATACTGAATTCTCAATATCAAATACAAAAGAAATCAAAGCAGCATTTAATGAGAATAAAGGCTTTGCACTCTCTCCATCCCTATGCCCAGACTTAGACATGTCATTCAGATACAACAGTGTTTCCCAAACTTGACAATTTTAAGGCATGAGGACTTCAATTCCCAGAATTCCACAGCCAGCAACGCTGGCTGTGGAATTCTGGGAGTTGAAGTCCTCATGCCTTAAAATTGTCAAGTTTGGGAAACACTGAGATACAACATGCAGAAGCTTAGGTGCAATCACCATCAAGAAAACAAGTTTCTGCCTGCTGCAACAGCACCACCACCACCATTAGAATCACAAACTGGTCTGATCTTAAGTGATGAGTGAACTAGGCAGAAGAAACCTGCCTCCAGAAATAAGGGAAAACAGCTATGATTTTCAAAAAGCTTAAAAGTCAACATTTGAAACCTGAGTTTGAATCACAAAACTGAGCCAGCAAATATTGAAAATGAAATTGCATCATTTTTTGGGGGCAAATGTGTAGGCATGTGGATATGTGTAACCGAAAGCGGGAGATGTAATGTTTTATTACAAAATAACTTCTAATATTCCTTCATTCAAGGAACATTGTATTGTGCTGCCATTTTAGATGCTTGCTGTTGCTAGAGATTGCTGCATGCCAACACTGAAAGGCAGCCAAGAAGTGACAGGGTAGGAAGCATTCATAAAGAGTTCCTTGGTTTTACCAAGAAAAAAAAAAATCTGCAAGCTGCTTCGTGGTATACATGCTTGGCAAGCGCCCCAGCTACATGTATATCATCTAAAAGGATCATTATCAAAGCAGAATTTGTACCAATTCCCCACCTCCATGCCATATGCTTGAAAAACATCTACTAAGCCAGATCGAAAGACAGGAATACAATTTAATTATACTTTTGACATTAACAAGACAAAATTCAATCTGTATGTTTTTAAAAAATTTGCACAATTCAAAAAGGCAGCATTACTTATATTTAAGGAAAATCTTAGAAACAACTGCCACCCCCAGGGTTCCAATACTGTTGTACTTTAATCCATGTATCCTGTGAACTTGCAGACAGAGGACTAACCCATCACAGTTGGCATACAACAGTCAGTGCTGGTAAGATGGGAAAAACAAATAATACACAAAAGCTTTATTTGCAATTATTTTTTGTTTCTGTGCATCCCACAGGTGGGAGGAACAACGAAAGATATGCAAGTATTCTCAGCACAGGCCCACAAAATCTTTGTTGGTGCGTGCTGCTACTCGCTGAATTCCAGTAATTGACAATGCCCTGGACAGTTGGGAGTCATGTTTTCTAAAAGCCAAATTAGAATTCTTTTAACAGAAGATGGTGCCAAAAGCAGAATTTTCTGGAGTGAAGGAAAAATAGAGCTTAACAGTACGTTCCTATTACCTGGGAGCCTATTTACTATTTCTACTAGATTGTGGGTTTCTGGACTGATGAGCTACGTTTGCGTTGCACAATTAACCCAGCCTAATGCTACCCTCTCTGAACGTCTATAAGCCAGCAGCAGACTACCAGTCAGGCAGTCTCACCTCAATAAGTGACCATCACTTCCTGCTTTTTAAAGTCAGCATCTTTATGTCCATTTTATCCTACATGGCTGCAATCTGAGCATTAGGGGCAGAGAAAGTAAAAACAAGAAAAATAATCAGGAAGAAGTACCTAGAATGTGCCCTGACAGTGCAGCCAGCATGGAGACATGTTTAACCCTCTTTTCCACGGCCACACTGCAGGGCTGACTTGGAATACCTGGTTTAAGACACAACCACCATGGGATAAACGGGTTAGGATGTATTATTTATGTATTATTTATCTCTCCACCAGCACCAGTATCACTACCTCTTCCCCTCTTACTTCACAGCTAGTTCTCGATTTATGTTCAGAATTGGGATCAGGATTCCATTGTTAAGCAAGATGGGTTTTTATGTGAGTCATGCCTGACTTTTTTTTTTTTTTTTGGCCATGGCTGCTAAGTGAATCATGGGGACATTAAGCAAACACAGTTTTCCCCATTGCCTTTGCTTGTTGGAAGCTGTCTGGGAAGGCTGCAAATGGAGTTCACCTGATCCCGGGATGCTGAACCACTGCAAATGCAAACCAATTGCTAAGCACCCAAATTTTGATTACAAGACCAGGGGAATGCTGTAACAGTTGTTAAGTACGAGGAGCAATTGTAAATCGCTTTATGTGATGCTTTTTTAGCTTCAAATGATTTCTAAATGAATGGTTGTAAGTTGAGAATTGCCTGTAGTTTAGCATGTCATGCAAACAGTCCATGAGCTTGTGGGACAAAAGTACTAACACATACACACAAGTTCTTTCCTGTTCTTAACCCAAACTAATATCACAAATAAGCCCAATCACGTAGATTACCATTTTATTAAATGTCTCCTCTTTTCATCTACATGTTTTTTGATTTGAGGAAGGATAATTAAACTATATATTAAGAGTGTTATAATTATGACTTTGATAGAGAGCTATATTGACTCACTAGGAGGCCCTGTGAATCTTCCTAGCTCTGGCAACGTCTTTCGAGTCCTTTGCATTAACAGACTTCAACTTTTAGAAATGTACTATAACTCCTTCCCTGGGAATACTTCCTGGGTCAGAGGTGAAGAGAGGGAGAAGCAAGCAAGAGAACAGTGAGATGCCTTGTGCAAATATCAACATGCTGAGAAGGATTTCCTGCAGTAAACTCCAACAGTAAAATTATTGGTAGGAATTTTCAGGAAGGCTGGCAGAAAAATAAGATGAAAGCTCCTGTCTATAAAGGGCTTTTTAAATCCGTTCTGAAATTCCAGGGAGGTCATATTTAAAATAGTGTTTTTCTGTCCTAGAAAAGCTGGATACACAATTTTTTGGGGTCTTTGCAACGTTTAAATTTTCCTGTTTTATACGAAAGCCTTTATCCACAGGAATGAAACCCCTCAAGGGGAATGATTCCCTCCTACCAGTGATTGCTCCAGATACTGAAGTAAACATGGACGAAATGCTTACCTTCATTCTCAGAGGTGTGCAAGTCCATGCAAGAATGACAACAAAAAGGGAGGGGGATGAAGTGAGATAATAAATAATGGAAAGCAGAAAACATGCAAGCAGAATACATTTTACCCCATTTTATATTCACAGGAACTTTGCTGATGTGTCATCATGATAAATGAGTTTTCATTTGGAATATCGTACCTGAGCAAGGTGTCATTATTTTAAAACATTTAAATACCTTATACTGTATTCTCATTAACAGCTCTGAATCCTATTTTTCCAACACTTCATTCAGTGCATTGTGTTAAAAGGAGATATCAAGAGAAATGGCAATAACAAACTGTAAGCGTATGTTGGGAGGCTGGTATGCAAATAGTAGCAATTTGCTACTTTGCTGTATTTTCTCATTAATAACCTAGGGAAATTAATTACGAGTTCTAATAGTCAAGCTTGAAAAGGAGCTGAATTAATATAGTTTGCCCAGTGTGATTCAAGGCTGTGCTTGAGTTTAGCTCAAATCTCTGAGGTCCACTTTCTGTGTTAAATAAGAATACGGCTAAATTCCAATTTTTAAGCAATGGTAGGCACTCTAAATATTAGCATAGTTATCTGCTGAAGAGACACTAACTTTGGCTCCTTGGAAGTCTATCTTGCATCCTTATTTTGAAAACAAAATCTTAGAGTTAATTAAAAGAGTTTAAATAAAATACACAATAAAAATAAACCTTAGATTTTTATGCATAGGAAACAGATTTAAATGAAGTTTTTTTCTTGGACTTAAGCAATATGCAGTTTGTAAGCTTAATACACAGCTGGGAGAAGTACAAACCGTGAACAAATTAAAGAAACCACAGCCCCACAGAGGCTAAGCTGATGTAGCCAGCACTGGATCCAATATCAAAGACCTCTTGTTCCTTAACAATTTTCTACAAGTGAAAAACCATTTTGTCACAAGCAGTAGAAGATTTCACTCTTTATTTCTTACAGATGAGCTTGCCAGGTTTTTATCCTTACATATATTGTCTTGCATATCTGATGACATATTTGTTGAATTGTTTTTAGTCTCACATGAATCTTTTTCTGTATCTTCCAAATGTTTGCAGTCTTGGCTAACGTTTTCCTTGTTTTTGCCTTTATGTTTTTTTAAATGAGAAATAGTCTCCTTCTGATTCAAAGGCTCAACAACGTCCATTTTAGAGTTCTGACACTCAGCGCTACTATTTTTTACCATACTGCCCTGCTTAACAACTTCAGGGGAGCTGGTTTTCTTACTCTGATCACTATCTGTACCATTTTTAATATGCTCTGTCTTTTTCTCACCATTGGTTTTATTCCTTGAGTTACAAATTTCAGATACGTTCTTAAGATCTTTTGTCTTTTTATGTTTACAAGTAGAACTGTTACGAAGGGACACGGGTGAAGGCAGCTTTTTACTGGGTTTGCTTCCTTCCGGCTTCTGTTTCCTCGGTGGCCCCCATATGAAATGGTCAGAAGGCATGTAGTGCTGTTGGGCAAACCGTAGGAGCTTTCTCCTCTCTCTTCGATCTCTAATGGTGTACACAAAATATTCCAGAGCACTCTGTTTAATATTGGGGATGGTTTCTTCCACCAGAGCCTCGTGAAGGATCAATTTCACAAGAGGAGGCTTGAAACTTTCATAACCAAGTTCACCGAGGCTCTTCAGAATCCGGGTGATTCTCAGGTAATTATGTTGGGATCTGCAAAGAAAGATAAACTGGATTCAAAATGACAGTTGGAAAAAAAAAATTTCAGGAGGAAAAAATATAGCTGAAAAATCATCGCTGCTGGTATCCTTGACAAAAGAAGGACTAAATGTCAAGTATCAAAAGAAAAGTCTCACCCTGATAGATAAATTTCAATCATCTGTTTATACATGTTATGGAATATAAAAGCTGACAAAAGCAGCATTCCTATCTTGAACCCCCCTCTTTTCTTGATTGACCGATGTCAGAGACCGATAAACAATGAAAAGAGAACTTAGAACTACCGTATTTTCCGGCGTATAGACAACCCCCGACTTCGGTGCCGAGTTGCATGCCTAGAAAGTCATCTTATACGCCAGAAACTACCGTAATTTCCAGCGTATAAGACGACTCGGCGTATAAGACAACCCCTGACTTCGGCGCCGATTTGCATGCTTTACAAAGTCATCTTATACGCCGGAAAATACGGTATATGATAAACTGGATTTGAAACAATTGGTACTAAACAGGGGGTATCAGGTGAATTTCTGCAAGCTAGAGTTGTTAAAAACTTGGCAACCTTTTTAGCGGCTGCCATATTGGTTTTGCAGAGAGAAATCAGAAACCTATTAGTCAAATGACTAAGATTTCCGACAATCGGGTTTTTGCCAAATGTTATGAGTGAGTGAATAGCAATTTAACAGAATATAACTCAGTGACTCATCCTCCGTGTTTGAACATACACCAATATGGTTATCATACGGAAGACTAATGTATCTGCCTATTGTCATCCTAACAGGAAATACATCAATTTAGGCCAATATAAAAAAAGAACCCTCCTGTGAGGAACATGCAAAATGTTATAAAAATGTCTAAGGATTGTCCAAGAGGGATCAGCAATTGCATGATAATGAAAATGAGTAAATTCAGCTCTTGTCATTTTGAAGACCTAAATGCCAAATCCTCCATAATCAAATCTTTGTTGGTCCAAAGAATGATATAGCCACAATGTACCAAATCAGAGTCAGTTTGCCTGCCTACAGATGCTCTCCAGAACATTATTTTCAATGAGAAACTGACATGGCATATTCTTAGGCAGGCCTCAAGTAAGATACAGCCATACATACAGTACCATGTAACGGCTTTTAAGGTTGAGAGAGGAACATGAAGAACAGTTTTTAGAAGTCTAGACTGAATAGCTTCCAAGAGAGGAGGGTAAACCTATACCTGGGCACCATATATCAGCAAGCCCACAATCTTGGTTTTATATAATTTAATGGCTGCAGGAATGCAATTATTGATTTGATGGTTTGTATATTTAAGCATCGCACTGGGGGGCTCTTATACAGCATTCATATAATTGATTATTCCAACAGCAGAAAGTTAGAAATGAATGATCATATAATTGATTATTCCAACAGCAGAAAGTTAGAAATGAATGATTAAATAGTAAAATACCAAGTCCTTAATTTGGACAAAATCCCCTATTATTAATTTTCTACCTAGTTGAGACCAAAACCTATTTTTGACTAGTTAATTTCAAGAGATTTCCTAAAGCAGAAGATCACCAATGCTGCTAAGCATCTATAGAGCCGGTATGTGTCATAAATGGGACGGCTGCATGATCTGTATGATTGATTCTTGTAAGTAAAAATGGAAATTGATCAATGGGCAAGAGATGGAGGACAAAAATCTAGCTCAGCAAAGGCCATGGCTATGGCATGAATACAGAAGTTAAAACAACAAAGTATATAGTTAGAAGCAGTTGGACCAGATGCTTCTAGAGAACATCTGGTCCCTGAACAGATAGTATTCAGATCAGGTTAGGTCTGTAACATTTAGCTGAGAAATAGTTTAGTCTTTCTAACTTTTATGCTGCTGCCAAGTCAAGGACAACACTTGAATTCTTCCTAAAAGACTTTGGAGAAAATTAGCACCATTGCTAACTGCATTCTATCTGAAATCTGCCTTCCAACATTTGCTTCTTCTAGGAACAGCCAATGCTGCATAGACAAGCAAAGGTTATGGGAACAATATCACTGTTCAAGCCAAATATCATTATCAACAAATGAGGGACAAGCATTCAGGGACCCCATTATGGAAACAGTCCCATGTTTCCCAGAAGTGCCTTTCTAATCACATATAGATACAGTATAGACTATGTATTCATTGTATTCTACATCTTAATAAAACTGATATTACAGCTGCATCTCTTTCTATTTTTTTTTTTAATGTGGGAGAGAATGTTACTATATGAAAAGAAGAGAATAAAAGTGTGTCTGGCTTGCATTCAGAAAAAAAGGTGAGGAAACAAGATAAATCTTGTCTACTTCCTCTGCCTTTGATATCATTGAGTATCTTCATACATGTACTCCTTGACTTATGCCCACTCACAGTTGTAACGGATCTACCTTGGGGCTACTTACGACCTGGATTTGAAGTCTGAACAATTGTGTTCCTCCCATGGTCATGTGACCAAACTTTGGGCACTTGGCAACATGTCCACATTTATGTCCATTTGTAGCGTTCCACAGTCACATAACTACATTTTTGCCAAAAAATTGGCACTTACTGTACGTCTGTTTTTCAGCAAAACTGTGCCCATAGTGAACCACTAGTTTGCTTAATGACCACCCTATTTTACAACCATCACAACTTACGACCAAGAGAGGAAGAAAAGTGTAATAACTGCTTAGAAAAACAAATCTGGAGAGAATCAAGCATCTCTGAAGACCTTACTTACTCATTCAAGTGCTGGAATCTTTCTTGCCAGTTAGCAGCTCGTACCACATTCCCAGTTTTATCGATTAATTTTATCCCAAAAAACTCCAGCATCATCTTGTAAGCTAACAGGAATCTTCGGATCGCTTCTTTCGTTTTTTTGAACTCCTGTAACAGATTTTTTTTTTGCAAGAACGCACAAACACCAAGAGCATTAAATATACAAAGTTATTCTAGTTCAAATGATTAAATATTAGCATTACACTATGAATTAGATGCTTTACCTCAATTTCACAGGTTGTTAATTCTTTTGCATAGAAATTCAGTCCTTGCTCTCTGAGTGGAAACAGCCTACATTTAAAACAGATTTACAAGTTTTTCTGAAACTGAAATGACTTTCACCAATTTATTAAAAAGAAATTAAAAGTAAAAGATACCAACCATTGTATATAAGTGTGATTGTGTTCCAACTTTTCATAATCTCCTTTCCATTTATTCAAGACCTCTTCAATATAAACCCCTATAAATATACCAAGCAACATAACCTTCTAAATACCATTCAGGAATTCAGTGTAAATGTAAGTACAAGTAAAAATCTTTAAAAAGCCATTTTTAAACTAGTTTTAGTACTTAGTACTTATTGTTAAAATGAACACATTAATATTCTTTCAATGGTTGAAGGACAAAGAAATATATGGGATTAACTATTGCCAAAGATCAAACAATGTCCTTTACCCTTCTTCACCTGTTGAAGACCTCCAAGGTCCCTTCCATCTCTATGACTCTATGATACTAAGCACACAGACTCAGTGATGCAAAGCTAACTTCAGAATCATGGTGCCTCAAAGACCTTCAAAAGGGCATGAGATTTCCTGAAACTTCTAGAAACCTAAGCTGAATCACAGCTGAATCACTTCTTTCCTCCATCATGTAGGACAGCAAATCCTCATTGCAGTCACACACATTGATGTTCTGAATCTTAAACTCATGGTAACGCCTCAAAGACATATTTTGGGGGTAAAGTCATGATGAGAACCCTTGCAAACAAGGTGAAGGAGAAATAAACTCAACATGTCTTATTTCCATCTCAATATGCACAAATACAGATCTATAAAGTCAAATGCAAAATAGAACTAGTTTGGGCCATCTGATTTATATACATCTGAAATTGAACTAGGTACCAGATACTTACCGTCAGGTTTAAAGGGAATTTTGTTCTTGTAAAAGCGGAGATTGCACAAATCATTTTGGTATCTCAATTCTTTAAAGTTCTGCTGAGCAGAAAGGAAGACAAACGCAAAAATACTCCATAAGAAATAGTCTGTAACCAAAATTATTACAGGTATGTTTTTATGTAATCCAAAGTACAATTTGCTAGACTAGTCTAGAAACAAGAGAGATGGATAAAATGTAACAGGATAACGGATTAAACTTTTTAAGGCAATTTGATATCACATAGATATCATAGATAAGCCAAAAAAATATAATAATTGTAAATGTATAATTTGAGTTACTAAATAGAAGAGAATATTTGTAGCTCAGGGTTGAACTGTGGGTTCCTTGGTGCTCTCTGAGCTTGTTTTCTTGCAGACATTTAATTACCCAACTATGTAACATCATCAGTGCTAGAAGGGAGAGGGGCTTGCTCTCTATTTTTATACTCATAGCATCTCCTGTCAGTGTTGGTGCGTTATGCTCTTGATGGCTCTTTGATCAGGGTATTCTTTACTGCTTGATTGTTGGTCTAATATTAATTTTGGTATATAGTATGAATTATTAGGCTACCATCCTATAGTCCAGTGGTTCTCAACCTTTCTAATGCCGTGACCCCATAATACAGTTCCCCATGTTGTGGTGACCCCCAACCACTTATACATCACCGGGTGCCAGGGGCGTGGCCAAAGAAAAGGGGGAAAAAATGGCGGACAGCCCTGTTTGGCGACCCCCGTGAAATGGTCGTTCGACCCCAAATGGGGTCCTGACCCACAGGTTGAGAACCACTGCTATAGTCCCTTATTTAGAAGTGACTCTCACTGAATTGAGCAAGACTGATTTTTGAATAGTTACTTACAGTGTAGAATTGCCCTATTTAGCTTTAAGTAAAATCTCTTAAACAATCTCAGAAACATAGAGTGTATCTATTTGTTTGCCAGGAGTTGAAACCAATTTGAAAACACATAATCAATCAATGAATCTAAAACATGTTCACAAAATAAAGAAAACCACTGAAGTTAAAAAAAAATCTTGCTTTCAAGTAAGCATATATCTCAAATAGCTGATACATAAAATCAGTGGTAAAGTGATTACAAACTCTTTTCATTTCAGTTTCGTTTTTAGTGTCATTTTTTTTATTTCCATGGGATATGTAACAGGCAAATTAGTAATTGCACTGTAAGAGTTGTGTTATATAGTTCATTTGCTGTTGACTTCTCTATACAGGTGTCATTAAGTTGTGTTATATAGTTCATTTGCTGTTGAGTTCTCTATACAGGTGTCATTAAGAAAAACAATTAACCAATAAACATTTGAAATAAAATATAATTATATTTTAATAACCCCCATCAAAATGGCAATTATGGGGGCTGGTAGAGTTCACCAATATCTCTCATTATCCATCTTTCAAGGCCACTATAATTTTTTTCTAAAAAATTAAGTGTCTCCACTGGAACTGCAAAAGTCTTTATTTTAATAAATGCTCCCAGAATACAAAATGTTCTTACTGGATATTGATGACGATATTTATATAAGTCTCTTGCAGCATAAAAACTTCTCTTTGGTTTAGCCGTCACATCAATTGAATCATCCCCCTGAAAGAGAAAAAAATCTCAGTGAGAAGCAGCAGAATGAGCATAACCATTTAAGGTAAATCCTCATACCGGTAATCCTCGATTTACGACCACAATTGGGAGTAGAATTTCCATTGCTAAGAAGATGGTTGTTAAATAAGTTGAGCCTGATTTTATGACCTTTTTGCCATGTTTGTTAAGCAAAACGCTGCAGTTGTTAAGTGAATCACATGGTGACTCATTGTTGGAAGCTAGCTGGGAAGATCACAAATGTGTCCCTGGAATACTGCAATCATCATAAATACATACCAGTTGTCGGGAGTCTGAATTTTGATCATGTGACAGTGGGGAATATACTATAGCAGTGGTGGCGAACCTATGGCACGGGTGCCAGAGGCAGCACTCGGAGCCCTCTCTGTGGGCACACGTGCCATTGCCCCAGCTTTGCCTCCCCTGTGACCCCCTCCTCTCCAGCAGCCCCCCTGAAGGAGAGTCGCCCTCGAGCGTGGCCCACACGGAGCAGCGCACCAAGAACATGGCAGCCAGGCAGTGTAGACAAGACTCTGCCCTCACACCCTATCATGCAATTGATGCTTCAGGACGTGGGCAGAGGGTGTGGCCGCCATAATGCTGCTAGGCTGCCTGGGCGATCTGCGGCAGGCCCTGGAAGTGGTGAGTGGTCCTGTGGGCAGGTGGGGGGAAGGGGGCAGAGCAGGGGTGGGGCAGGGGGTAGGGCTGGGCCAGTTTTTGGGCATTCAGTCTCTAAAAGGTTCGCCATTACTGTACTATAACAAGCCTAAGAGCGAGAATCGGTCATAAATTACTTTTTTTCAGTGCCATTGTAATTTCACACAATCACTAAATAAATGGTTTTAAGTCAAGGACTACCTGTATATGGAACATTTGGCAGCACAAACTTAATATTATTTCTACATTACCACTTGAATTATTTATACATCTTCACCCTTCCATTTTCCAACCCTGGTTCTTTTTCTTTTGTTTCTGAGATCCTCTCCAACCATGATTTTTATATCCTCCACCCCAGATCTCCTGCAGCTTGGAGGGTCTTCCAAAGGAACTCTACTTGATGTCTACCAATTCCAGGTATGACTGCTCCAACAAAATGTTAATGAACACCACAAGTAGGTAACCTGGAAGTTTTACAACCATGTGTATCAGTAAGCTTTTTCAAGGAATCTTATTTGTCTTCAAGACTAAGATCTGATGTTTCCCATTCTATGGCTTTGATAACAAGCAACGGCACTATTCAGTCTGGATACCTCTCTCCAAAAAGTTACTTGAGCAAACTAGTTTGGGTTAAGTTCGTACATTGTGCTAAGTCGCATACAATGCTTATAATCCAGATTGTAACATACTAAGCTAAACAGTGTAAGAGAATGGTTGAAGAAATTGAATAAATAGTTATTTCAAGAGCAACTGTCCCAGTTCCAGCAGGGAATTAGTCTGGGCTCATTATGTAAACACAAGAGGGCAAGATCTGACCCCCATCGCCAATGCATTTGAACCTTATCTAGTCTTTCCCAGGTGAAAGCTGTCAGTCTGGAGAGATTCCTATGAATTAGGCATAGAACAATAAAATAGCTAGACAGTCACACATGAGGGTCTGGTTGTATGTACCTGAAACGAACCCAGTTTTTATATAAACCAAGATGTAAATATTATAGATTTTATTGTGGTATTCCTACTTTTTGAAACTAATGTCATTGTGAAAATCAGAAGACCTGTATGTATCTAATTAATGTAGGAACTATCACATATTCATTGTCATATAATTTTCATATAACTGTGACTTTGCAGGCAGTCCTGCAAAATCCTGGGAAGGTTAAGTCAATACAACTAAGCACCAACGTTTGAGCAATCACTGAGCAGCTATATTAAAAGAATGAAACTGTTCTTTATTACAAATTAACATGACATATTTCTTTATTAACAAATTTAAAAAACATGTAAGAATTATGTTGCATTATTATGATCTTAGTTCTAGATACAGCTTTTAAAATATTTGATAAATTTCTTTTTTTTCTCAACTCTTCTTCTAGAATATTAAGATACTTAGAATGCTTGTCTATAATCTGCTGATTACTAATATTTTTTCTTCAATTGGGATGGGGGAAATATTAATGACGTTATCGGGGGGGGGGGAATATTAATGGGGTTATCCAAGAGTCTCTATTCATTCAAACTGATCTACCCAAATGAGCCTGCTGCATATCCCATCAGCCAAAGAGTATCGACTGGCGGGGACAACAAGATGAGTTTTTCTTACAGTGGCCTCTGTTGTTTGAAACATCCTTCCTTTACAGCAGGGGTCCCCAACCTATGGGAATGGCTGGCTGGTGCATGCACATGTGTGCGCGCACTCCTCACCACTCATGCTAGCGTCCATGCCCCATTTGCGCATGCACTTGGGCACGAATGGGGCTAGCGCCGGGCGAGTGTGCGCAGCCCATTTGCGAATGCGTGAATGGGGCTGCTAGTGCCACGCCAGTGCACATGGCACTGTTTGTGCATGCACTTGCGTGTGCACCAATTTAAAACCTGGTCTCCTTCCCTCTGGGTCACGAGCCTGGAAAGGTTGGAGATCTCTGCTTTAGAGATTAGAATGGCCCCAACCCTGTCAGCCTTTCGTTAAGGCCCTAATAACCTGCCTACGTTCCCGAACCTGAGGTGCTGAATGCCCCCCCCCCAGCTTTTCCTAGCTTCATTGCTAACTGGCCAAGTATCTCAGCTGCATGTGTATTTATTTTGGATGTTTTTGTTTTTTAAATTTTTTATTGTTTTAAAATGTTTCCAGAGCCACTGACTGAGATGAGCAGCTATAGAAATTGAACGACCGACCGAATGAATGAATGAATGAATGAAATGAATGAATAAAGTGACAATTTCTGGTCCTGAAGCAGCATAATAAAGCTAACTAAAGTAATTGTTCATGGATAGCCAAATGTACAACTTACATCAATTTAAAGGAGCTTTGTGATCTGTGCGAGTCCAAATGGTGTCATTCAATACCTTCCCATAATTAAGGTATTTTAGACACTCTAAGTATCTCATAACATGGAAATATGACAGAACTGATGCCATCAAATGGAATACAGGTAGTCCTCGACTTATAACAGTTCATTCAACGACCATTCAAAGTTACAACAGCATTGAAAAAAAGTGATTTATGAAGGTTTTTCACACTGTTCCAGAATCCTCATGGTCATGTGATCAAAATCCAGATGCTTAGCAAGTGACTCGTATTTATGACAGCTGTAATGTTCTGTGTTCATGTGATCACCTTTTGTGACTTTCTGACAAGCAAAGTAAATGAGGAAGCCAGATTCACTTCACAGCCGTGTTGCTAACCTAACAACTGCAGTGATTCACTTAACAATTGTGGCAAGAAAGATCATAAAATGCAGCAAATCTCACTTAACAACTGTCCCACTTAGCAACAGAAATTTTGGGCTCAATTGTGGTCATAAGTTGAGGACTACCTGAACCAACTGAAAATAATTATCATCCATGGAAAAAATCATACATAATAGCTTATAAAATGTGATCTATCTATCTATCTATCTATCTATCTATCTATCTATCTATCTATCTATCTATCATCTATCCATCCATCCAGCATGCTGTCCATCTCACCAGAGGTGAAGGATTCAGTGAATTTTTGTGCTGATGATGTTGGTTTGTGTCAATAGAACAAGCTACCCTTTCTCTGTTCTGGAGGTTTGGAGATGCTTCAGAACAAATCTAATAAAGTATGAGGTGAGTTATAAAGAGATCAGGAGCAGAAATCATATTGTACAGTTACATCGTATTGGAATAAACTTAACTAAAAAGCTAAGTTTGCAAAATTGTATCTCAGTTTAGAAAACAGATAACATTAAGATCAATATGAAAACTGTAGGAGGTAAGAGTCTTTTGTGCCAGGCAACGGCTAGAGTACAGTTAGACTTTTGTAAAACAATATTCAAATATACAGAATTGGCTGTGAAATCTCAGAGCAATCTTTGGAATGTCACTGTTTGCCATTACTGTTTGTCAGTAATCATGCCTCATAGTCTGAGAAATATTTTTAAAACGTTGGAACTGTTCACATGCAGAGAACTACTATGAAAACAACTCCTAAATCTTTTTCTGCATACTGAAGGAGACAGGCTGGAGAAAGCTTCACAAAATTCAACACAATAAACTTTAAAATAGCAGTGTAAAGTTGAATATTGCCAAGTCAAAGCCTGAAACACACACTCGTATCTGGAAAAGGGTGAATGCCATTTTAGAGAGGAATCTATTGCATGAACCTTGAAAACACAGAACTGCAATATACCTTGGTGCATCTGTTCCCCTACTCAAAGCTAACTTGAATAAACAGCATAAAACAACAGGTACAAACAAGCCTGTTCACAAAGGAGTATTTCATTTCCTTATTATACTGTGGACCTCATTTTAATATGTGCAGTAAGTTGTGGGTGTAGGGCTGAGACACTGGATCAAAACATTAACTACAGCAATTTCAAACCAACTCAATTGTTCAACATTTTTGCACCATTCATTTCCTACTCCATTTACACACACACACACACACACACACACACACACACACACACACACAGTCAATTAAGTGTAAGGCCATATGCATTTTTGTAAATATGTGCTTGTAATCACCAAATATTTTCCTGACAATATCTATAGAAGATAAATACTTTAAAAATAGGTGTCTTTTTTGTATTCTTGAGAACCTATTTGATGCCACTGCCATTTTCTGCCCTTGGCTGATTTAGGCAAAAAATTGGTCACGAGGAAATAGCAAGGTTGTAGGCTAGATCAGAGGTCCCCAACCTTTTGGGCACCAGGGATTAGTTACATGACAAGAGGTTTTTCCGCAGACCGGAGGGGGCGTGGTTTTGTGTGCTGCCTGCATCCCGTGGACAGGGCTTCGCTTGTTTGTGTGTCCCGGTTGCTGGCATGCTGCAGCCCGGTACCAGTCCATGGACTGGCGGTTGAGCACCCCTGGGCTAGATTGCAAAAATTAAAAATCTATCCCGGAAGAAACCAATGGGAACCAAGTTATGTACAGTTGCCAAGAAAATTATATTAATGTGTCTATGAACTCACCAGTGAAATTTGGTTCAAAGTAACTTTTCCTTTTAACATGATGTTGCATGTATTTTATCCAACAAGAGGAAAATCTCCCTAAACAAAATAACATACCATAAAAGCTCTAGTGATTGAATCCATATCCTTGTTTATCTTTCATACAGAGAAAGTGGGACTGATGATGACACAAACAAATTAGGTTTTCTAAACTACAGGTTGTCCTTCACTTACAACCATTCATTTAGTGACAGTATGAAATTACAATGGCACTGAAAAAAGTGACTTAAGACCATTTTTCACACTTACGACCACTGCAGCATATCTGTGGTTGTATGGTCAAAATTCAGAGGCTTGGCAAATAGTTCATATTAAGACAGTTGCAGTATTGCAGGGTCACCTTTTGCAACATCCTGACAAGCAAAGTCAATGGGGGAAGCCAGATTCACTTAACAACTATGTTACTAACTCAACTGCAATGATTCACTTAACAGCTGTGTCAAGAAAGGTCGTAAAATGAGGCAAAGCTCTTTCAACAACCATCACGCTTAGCAACAGAAATTTTGGGCTCAAGTGTAGTCATAAGTCAAAGACTACATTATTAGCTATTCTGATGGGCATCAAGACATTAAACAAGATGTGCATATGTATTGCCTGGTATTGCCCTAAACTGACACAAGTGCAAGAAACACTTTGATTGAAATATCTGTAAATATTAAAAATGCTTGAATGAAGACTTTAAACTATTTATGGAGGGCTAAGAAAGAATATGCAACTGCATATCCAGAATCAGGTTTGATGTTTTCTGATGTTAGCAGCATTCACACATACTTCAGCTGGGGTTTGGTTCAGAGCTGCAGATTAGGAAATAATAAGTACCCTTCCAGTGCAATGCTGCCATACAGTATATCTATTCAGAAATCAGTCACATTGTTTTCAAGAAGGCTTACTCCCACGTAAGTGCACATAGGCTGGCATCCATTCTGTTTTAGTGGCTCTTCTTTTCATTAGTCATACTTCTATTCTTAACCACATTGTATTAGATAAAGCACGTTAATCATTATCCATCATTTTTACAGACTGGAGCCTCCAAGAGATCCAGAATAAATCTGAGAGAGAGATTTGCATCTCTGCATCTCAACAATATTGAACTAGTCAGGAACTTTACCAACTACATAAGAAGATGCCCAGGCAAACTAATACAACTGCATTATCACTGTATTGTGTATTGTACGGCATTATAATCTTATTATTTCTGTAACAGTTTTATGAGTTTCTTTTACAATTAAAGTAACACTAATTATTTTTCTCATTATCTAGAGTAGCTGGGAATTGGGCAATGTTGAATTAAAATATTGCAGACACCTTGGAATGAAGACTGTTTTATGCATGTGTTTCTTGAGGATGCATCTTTTAAGAAATATATAGCTATTACCAAAGACATAGTTAATACCAATCTTTAGCTATAAATTGTGTTTTGTTCTCTCAGTATTTCTGGGCAGTGCTTACTTTCAGTGGCCAGGTTCCGACTAGCATCCAGCCCCTTACAAACTAGTATGTGGTAAATGAAAGAAATGAGTGAGGATTACAAAATGATTCTAGTACCATTAACATTATGCAAGTGGATTTAAAATGATTACTGAAATAGAAGTGCATGCCAGAAAAAAGGTAGCAAGTTTATAATGCCAGTCTTTTGCCTGAATAATCCCAATGTCCTTAAGCCTAATGCAAATAGAGTTCCACAGATTATTTGGTACAGTCAACTCAAGTGAAATCCAAGTTGAATTCAAATTTTGAATACTTTGTAGACTCATCTATGAAGTTTTCTCAATAGCAACTATGTACATCAATATATATCCTGCTTTTCTACCCATGATCAAAAGGTGAACTATTTAAAGCATCTATAATGTTTTTTTTAAAAAGGATGCAGTAATTTAAATGCACTGATGTTGTGAAGTAGAGAGAAGAGTAGTACTTGCACAGGAACTCATAATTCAGTGTAGAAGTTATATTTTCAAAATTAAGTTTTCGTACACCTAAAATTCAAATTTAAAAACTACATTATAGTTTGAAAATTGCAATACTGTTATAATTTTCAAGTTTAATAAAACAAAAACCAAAGTAGATGTATACAGAAAACAGAACTGCTGGAAAATAATTATTAAATATAAATAGTGAAAAGTTTACAATACAGCCTTTTTATAGAATGTTTTCTTTTCATATTTTAAGAAAAAATGCTAATCTCTGAATTCTATCAACACACAAAATGATACAGATTTCTTATTATATATTTTTGTCCTTTGCTAAATTCCAGAAATTTTTTAATTAAAAATATATCTCTATCCAAAAGACATCATGTGTATGTCCATTAAATTTAGTGTGACTTCCTGTTGAGACCTATACAGGATTGCACTGCAAAGCACTTACTGGAATGATTTCAGAAAACAAATCCAGACAGATGTTTCCAATGTGCAACCAGAACACACACCCAGACACACACACATCCCTATATATCCCTCTGTATGTATGTGCTTATGAGAAACTTGAATGTAAAGTTCTCTGAAATTTGGCAGTTTCCTATACTTTACAGTAGTCATTCTAACATTCTATATTCAAATAGTCATGTGAATATTTTTTCTTTTAACATGCTGTTAAGATTGTGAATTGAAAACACTATTGAAAACTAACCTCCTGCCAGAAGAGTATAAAAATAAAAATATACCCATTTTGAGTTTTTTTTAAAAAAGAAAAAAAAAAACCATCAGAGAATTTGATAAAAGCAGGAGAGAACACCAATATATTATCTCTCTTGAAGACTCTTATTAGTTATTTTAGTTCTAGACAGTGAAACTCGTATCCCATAGGTAAAAGCATGGTAGAGATGGTGGACTCAACCGTCAGACCCTCAAGCAAATCCAGTTCTGAAACTGCATTTTGTCTTCACCCACACGATTCTCTGAAGTAGAGGTTGCAGAGGAAAAGCCACTTGGATTAGGCATGTCTTGTGATTCTTAACGTTAAAATCATCAGAACCTTTTCAACAGAGGACACCAGGCCGGTTTGTTCAGTCTGCCAAGGAGGAATGAAACAAACCCCAACCTCCCTCCACAACAGCTCCCCTTTCCACACCACGGCACGGGCGCAACAGGAAGGAAAACCAAACCCAGACGGAATTACCAGGCTGGGGCAAGAGATCGCAAACTCACCCCACGCTCGGGGCATTTCCCTCAACCTCGCCCACCCGTCGAGCCCATTTTCTAACACGTGGGGGGGGGTGGAGGATGCCGTAGGCACGCCTAGCTTCCAAGTCACAAAGCATGCAAATATTTCCAGCGGTGGGGAGGGAAGCAGCGAAGGAGAAAAGCAAGGGTGCGGGAGAAAAGGAGTCAGAAACCACACGGGGAGCCTTGTAACCTTGGCTTTCGCGCCCCGCCATCCGTGGCAAGCCCGCACAGGGAAGCGACGGCCAACCTTGGAGAGACCCCGGCGCTTTCCAAGGTGAGCGCCAATGGCCCCGTCCAGGAAGCGGCGAGGAAGAGCTCCAGCGCGCCCCTCCGCCCCGCCAACCCCCGGCAGAAGTTTGCAGGGGTCCTGGGTTACCTGTTCGGGCCCGGGGGCTTCGGTCTCTCCCTGCTTCCTGCCCTCGGCTTCGTCTTCTTCGGCCACCCCGTCTCCTCCTGCCTTTTCCTCCTCCTTCTCCACCTCCTCCTTCTCCTCTTCCACGGCAGCCCCTTCGCGGTTCTCGGCGGCTTCCGGCCGGCCGCCTGTCGCAGAGAGCGGTTCCTCTGGCGGCGGCGGCGGCGGCGGCTGCTGCTGTCGCCGCCGCTGCCGGTCAGCCGCTGGGTCGTCGTCGCCCTCGCCGCCGCCCGCCTGCTCCAGCGGTGGCCCTTCTTCCCCGCCGGTGTCTTGCAGCTCCGGCTCCGAATCCGTCTCCCAGGTCGAGTCACAGTCCTCCACCGTGGTGGGCTCCTTGAAGCTGACTCCGCTCAGCAAACTGCCCATCGGAGAAGCACTGCGGGAGCTCGGCGACCTCCCCCCCCCGTTGCCCACTCTTTCCTCCCCTCCGGAGACGCAAAGGGGGGCACGCGCGCGAGGGGTGGGGGAGATCGGCCGGTCCAGAAGCTAGCTCGGAAGAACGCTGCTCCTGGAGGCCGGGGGTGGTCGCGCCGGGACGCCACAGCCGAGCGGCAGAAAGCCACAAGGAGGTCGGGGAGGGGGGCGGCGGTCAGACGCAGAAGGGAGCAGCGACAACAGCCAACAGCTCTGCTCCTTCCTCCCTTCCTTCCTCAGTCCCCAACCCGCAAACACGCGCGGGGGTGGGGAGGAATCGAGAGGAGGAGCTGAATGCTCCGGGATTTCCACAGGAAATACTGAAGCCGGCCCTCCCTTGGCCGCTGCAGCAGCAGCAACAGCGGCGGCGGCGGCAGCAGGTGCTGCCTGAAGGAGGAAGCCGAACGGAGCGTTTCGCCGCCCAGCAAGTCGCGGAGGTGCGCGGCGAGTTTGGCGACGCACGTGCCCGCTTCTAGAACTTCTCTCCCCCGCTCGCCGCCCCTCGTCGCGGCTGCCTTGAGGTTGGGGCCGTAGGCCTCTGACAAGCCTTGGAGAGCCCGAAGAGGAGGGGAGGGAGGACGGGAAGGAGGCGGTGTTGCAACACCCGGCGGACCCTCAACTCGCTGGCTTCTCCCCCCCCCCCGCCGGCTTGAATCTCATTGACTCCTAGGGAAACCCCGCTGATCCTGCGCAGAGGGGAGCAAGGGCGCCGAGTGGGACACTTGGTCCCTCAGGCAGTCGAGGTGTTTTTTTAGGGGGGGGGGGCTGCTGCTGGGTGGAGATACTGGGAACTGAAATGCAGATGGCTCAAGTTTGGTGGCAAAAAGACGGCAGGAGCGCTTTTATTGGCAGGGCTCTTCGCGCGTTTACCTCTAACTCGGTGGGTGGGAAATCAACAGGTGCATCTTCATTCTTGGAAAGCGGAGTTTGTTGTTAACCCACAGCTGTTAAAATGTGAGGAGGGACAGCTTGAGCTCTGCATGGCTTCCAAATATTGCCTTTTAATTAATGGCACGCTGTAACTGCCCACTATATTCCTTCAGTAGCAATAACAATTCATTACAGAAACTGGTGGGGTTTTTCTGTTGTTGTTTTGAGTCTGTTCCAATATGCAGATTTTTCTTCTCAAGCATAGTCATTCATCCATAGAACAAGGGAAATGGCACTCTAGGAAGAATACAGAAATTCAGCATCTTTATGATGTTCTTGGGTTCAAAATAGCTGACAAGTCAAAATGGTATTTTAAGAAATTGAGCAAGATAGGACTATATTGATATTTGAATGGGAGACCATCAACAAATCCCAAGACCCTCCCCTGCTTTCATGGGCATGCCCATGAAGTCACCAGATGTCAAACTATTTAGTAAGCAGGTGCTGAAATGCCTGTTAAAACACAGAAAGCAGATAATATTTACCTGGCATGATGATGGTGGCAGACTCCGCACTAAGAAATCCTCAAATCGGCTACGAATACTAGCTTCACTACTGTTCATGTTGCCTATATGGGCAATCTAGACAGTAGGGAAGATGACCTTGATGGAGATCTGCAAGAATTTTACCTAGACCAGGAGTAGGCAACCTTGGCTTTTTTATGACTCGTGGCTGGCTCAGGAATTCTGGGAGTTGAAGTCTACGAGTCATAAAAGAGCCAAGGTTGCCTACCTCTGACCTAGACAAACAGGGCTGAAATATTTTGTAAGTGCAGAGCAATGAGATCATAGTCAGAGCTTAATCTCTATTCTCTTTGTACAATTCAGAAAAAATCTATCCTTGCTTTGGCTTCTCTATCTTCTGTTCTCCTGTGTAGATGAAACCTTAGACAAAGGAACAATTCAGGACTAAGGATGCAGCGCTGTGTTCTCTGGGAGGACATACCAAGAAAAATAGAATAATTTGGATATCTTTTTTCTGTAGGTAGAAAGAACTATTTAGGTGCCAACCTTCCAAGTCTATTCTGCGAGACTTGAATCTGGAAAGGAGGGAGGGAGGAGGGAGGGAGGAAGGAAGGAAGACTCTCCATGCAAATAATATTTGCCTTGCTGGAGGCAATAAAAAAAATTAAAATATTGCAATACAGTTACAATCCTTTCACTTGATCTGTTCAGTTACTAGATATTATTTGTATAAATTACCAGTTCTTTAAGTGCTAAAGAATAAAATTAAATCTGAGAAGGAATATCTGGTTTCTGATGCTTAGGAACAATTTGAGAAGTTATTAAGAAGCTTTTGTAAAGTCAGACTGACTATGAATCAAATAAGACCTTTAAGTTACATTTGGTTACTTACTGTTGGTCTTGTGGAATCTGTTAAAGAAAGAGATGTCCCAGAAGTTTTTGAAAAATAAATGACCATTATTTTAGTGATGTTTGCGTTTTTATTGGCCTTTATGTTGATAACCACTAATACTAGGAGTTATTTTTGTTGAATCCATTGCTATATAAAGTAAATAAAGAAATAAGCAAGGATGCACACACAGTGGTAAGAAATGGATGATTGTATGATAAAAATTATATCCATATGAAGGAACAGGGAGGCAATAATACATTGTTAAGTACTGTATGTCGTTTTCTAAAAAAGATGGGCTCCTTTGAGTCAGGGTTTTATTTTACTCTGAATAACTGCAGGGACTAGTCTATGCAGTTTTCTTGGCATGGTTTTTCAGAAGTGGTTTACCATTGCCACTTGCCTAGGGCTGAAAGAGAATAAGTGGCTCAAGATCATTCAGTTGGCTTTGTGTTTAAGGCAGGATTAGAATTCGTGATCTCCTGATTTCTAGCTTTACAGTTTGCCTTAAACACTACACAAAGCTGGCTTTCTAATATGTGTTATAACCCAGTACACAATTGCAAGAGATATTAAATACAACATCAAGGAAGGATGCTGTATTATAATAGTTAATTAAAGGCAAACATCGAAATAATGGGAGAATTTGTAGTCACATAAACATTTGGATAGAACCAATGCAACAATGCAGGCAGTAAGGACAACATTAGAATCAAAATGGATATATAAAAGAAACAAATGGAGAGATTCAGTTCATTCTGCAAGATACCTCCAGGGGCAGATTGTGGAATAGACCGGAACTTACTAATGTCAAATACTTGGGTTAAATTAAGAGGGGTATGGGAGCATATATGTAGTCAGTGTGCAGAGCCCTGCTGCTATATTAAACCAAAATGTGGAATACCACTCACAAAAAATGATAAACTACTATAAGAACGGTTTTTTTAAAAAAAATAAGTGGTTCAAAACAAAGAAGGATGTATGTTGTTTCCACATTGGATGACCTTATATGGTAAACATAATCACAAGTTTAGAAGAGGTGACATCTTGGTTCAAAATTAGAGATCAAAAAACTAATTATTGGCAATACACAGATGACATCACCTTGTTAATTGAAAATAAAGAATTAGAAGAGCTCATTGTGAAAACAATGAAAAGTGAAACACTGAGATATTAAAAATTAAGGTGAAAATGTAATGTCAGTCAGCAAGCTTAGCCAATTCACAGTTGACAGTGAGGAAATGAAGATGTTAGACGAATTTTATTTTTGTTGAGTCAAAAGAATATTTAAAAAATGGACAGTGTACTAGAAAAGTAAAAAGAAATAATTCCTTGAAGAGGAATGCAATCACAGACAAAATAATAGATGATACAAATGTTTAATTGGTGACACACAATGTTTAAAGCATTGATCTTTCCAGTGGTACCATCTAGTTGTAAAAGATGGACATCGAAAAAGAATGAAAGAAAGAAGATAGTAGATGTCTTTAGATCAGTGTTTCTCAACCTTGACAATTTTAAGGCATGTGGACTTCAACTCCCAGAATTCCACAGCCAGCATTGCTGTGGAATTCTGGGAGTTGACGTCCACATGCCTTAAAATTGTCAAGGTTGAGAAACACTGCTTTAGATTATCTACTTTAGATAGATTATGAATTTGAGATACTGATTGAGACTACCATAGATTGCAAGAAGAATCAGTCAGCCCTGGACCAAATAAAACTGACTGGCTGTTCCCTTGAGATAATGATCAGCAAGTAGAAACACATATACATTGGGCATGTGCTGCAAACAAATCAGTTGGACAGAGTGGCTGTATTTGGAAAAATGGAAAATAGAAAGAAAAGACGATGGCTACTCCAGGGAATGTCGTTGTAAGGAATGTGGCTTATTGTTGGGGGCAGGAATATTATCTAAGTATTCAGGTTTTGCAGTATCTGCAACCATTTGCACCCTGTACTAATTCCTAAATTTTCAACACTTGTGTTCTTGTCCTTTTTTGGGGGATTCGGTTCTAAAGTAAAATTACCCTTTTTCCCCCCAAATAATTTTTTGAAGAAAAAAACCCCACTTCATTTTCCTTTAGGGTAAATATGGTATACTGAGGTTGTCTGGTTCCAGTCTTTGTTTTTAAGAAATAGAAAACAAAATAAATTTAATTTTGATCTTGACATATCCTTTCTGATGGCTGGGCTCAGGCTGTTGGAATCCCATTCATGTTGGTCTTCAGATTCCCCCAGTTGCCACCCAAACCATTGCATGAATTCAATGTTTTAATATGATTAATATTGTCATATTAAATTGTCATTTTCTCATCTCTAGCCCACAACTGAGTCAGATTAAAGTTTTCAGCTGTACCAATTATAAAATACAGTTTTTATAATTGTCTTATGCAATTTTTGTTGTCGACACAATCTAGCATGCTTCATCTATAATATGAATTGGAATTGGGATCTACCTAGTTATATTTGTCAGCCCTTGAGGCTGGCCAGGTCAGGGAACAGACAATGCATGGACTACCGAAATTCTCTATGGGGCACGATGGCAGTTAAAGATGCGGAGATTGTCAGCCACAAAGCTGACCATCTGGGTTTGAGACCTGAGTGCTGAGTGAAGGGGTGAGCTCCTATTATTTGCCCCAGCTCTTGCCAACTTAGCATTTCGAAAGCATGCAAATGTGAGTAGATAAATAAGTACCACTTTGATGGGAAGGTGACAGATCCAATCTAAACATAGTAAGGATATGGAAGAGTACGGAATAAAACAGACCCCACAGCAATTGGATAAAATTTTAACAGGTAAGGAAGGAAAATTTCTAACAAAAACCTATAAATATTTATTAGAGGTAGATTTGGAGGAAGAAATAGTGAAAGGGCCAATGATAGCATGGGCACGAAATGTGGGCCGAAATATAAAACTGGAAGAATGGGAAAGATTATGGAACAGAATTTGTAAACTGACACTGTCAACTGCATATAGGGAAAATCAATATAAAATGTTCTATAGATGGCATTTAACACTGGCGAGATTGGCTAAAATGTACAAAAATATGAATCCGGAATGCTGGAAATGAAAAAATAAGGAGGGAACATTCTATCATATGTGGTGGCTATGCCCTTAAGCAAAGATCTATTGGGAACAGATAAGGAACTGGGTACAGGAGATAACAAAGGTGCAAATTGAACTCTAACCTGAACTATTTCTTTTGGGTATAATAAATTTAAAGATGGAAAAACAACTCCAATACATCATTGTATGTATATTAACAGCAGCCCGCATAGTATATGCGCAGTGTTGGAAAGGTGAAAACAAATGATATGATTATATATAAAATACTAGAATGCGCGGAAATGAACAAACTTACGCT